TCACTAAATACAATGCATGAAACTAAATCAGATTCATCTTCCTCTATTACTTCATCACCATCACCGTCGTCTTCCGCCAAATCGTCATCATCGGTTTCAGCAAACTCATCATCACCTTCTTCTTCTGTATCATCGGGAAGATCTTCAACTTGCCTGTTCCGAGGGTCTATTAAGAAAATCTCCTCATCAACATCTGGTTCAGACAGATCTACGCAAGTGTCCTGTTGAAGTGGAACATCCTCAACCCCTACAATCTTGCCCCTCGGAGCCACTTTACCTACAGCTAACCATGAAATTCCTGTTGATCGAACTCGAGGGTATGGCAGAAACGTTACATGTTCTGCTTGAGAAGCTAATATAAATGGCTCAAACCTGTTGTACCGTCGTGATTTGTTCACGTCAACAACTCCAAACTTGTTTAGACGTACCCCTCTTCCAACAGTTGGATCAAACCAATCACATTTGAAGAGAACAGTTTTCAGCCTTAACAATCCAGGATACTCTACTTCAATTATTTCTTGCAGAACTCCATAAAAATCTATTTCACCCCTCACACAAACTCCATAGTTAGTTGTCGCCCGCTTTGCACTATGGCGGTATGTGTGAAAAACATAGCCCCGAGTGAAATACATGGAGGCTGTAGTTATTTTTGCCATCGGTCCTAGTAGTAACTCATGGAACCATGTTGGAAATCCATCCGGATCATTCGGGTCCACCTAATAAGAAAAAAATTCCGCTTTAATTTCTTGATTTGGATATATAGCAAATTAAAGTAGTCTTTTAATTAAAATTTTATACGTACTTGTCCTTTTAACCACTGGGCATAGTGTTGATCTTTACGATCATTGATTTCAGTTTCAGAAATCTCAGATATGCATTCTTTAACCTCATCAACAAATGTGCTGAGAAAAACAACAAATAGTTATTAATACTGACAACTCATATAAAGATATTATTAATTAAAGAATACCTTTCATACGATGACAACTCTTCACAATTTAACAGGATATACGTATGTGCACTGTGATAATCTTTTTCATTGGACCACCAAACTTCTTTTAGTTTTCCACTAAGACGTCCGATTGGCGAGAATATGTCAGGTACACCTTCAACGGCATATGTATGGCCAATTCCTCCATCATCATATTGACGAGTAGCTCTTTTGCGTGTTCGTACTTTCAGTGCAAAATAGTATGAAGTGAAGTGTGAAGTCTCTTGCGTCAAGCTTCCCGCCACAACTGAGCCTTCCACTTTAGCTAGGTTTTTGGCTTTACCTTTAAGATGCTTCATGAAACGCTCGAACGGATACATCCACCTGTACTGAACGGGTCCACCGAGCTCTGCTTTGTGTGGGAGATGAACATGAAGATGTTCCATAACATCAAAAAATGATGGTGGGAAGATCTTTTCCAAATTGCACAACAAGATTGGAATATTCAATGCCAGTTGTGATATTACATCAACTGATAATGTTCGTGTACTAAGATCCCGAAAAAAAGCACCAATGCCTCCAATAGCTTCATGGACATTTTTGGGCAAGAGTTCAGCAAATGCAAATGGAAATAATCATTGCATAAACACATGGCAGTCATGGCTTTTCATCCCAGAAAACTTTACCCCCTTCTCAACAGATTTGGAAAGATTAGAGACATACCCATCAGGAAATTTAACGTCAGAAGAAACCCATCTGAACAATGCTGACTTTTGATCTGCACTCAACCGAAATACAGGAACTGGTGCTTTCCCGTTTCTTAGTAGATGCAACTCACTTCTGTTGCATAAATCAGGCAAGTCCAATCTTGACTTACCATTGTCTTTTGTTCTTCCTGCTACGTTCATAACTGTATGCATGATGTTATCAAAAAAGTTTTTTTCAATGTGCATGACATCAAGATTGTGTCTGAGCAGATGATCTTTCCAATAAGGTAGTTGCCAAAAGATACTTTTCTTGTGCCAATTATGATGAACTCCATAACCTTCAGGCATATTTGCAGGAGTGTGCCAGTTTCCCCCACGCGTTACTGTTTCCTCTGCCCTCCAATGATCGATTTGCGCCTGTATATCAGCTCCTGTTAAATTAACGGGTGGAGGGACATGTACACTTTTGTTCTTCATAAATAACTTCTTGTTCCTCCGATATGGATGGTTATCCGGTAAAAACCTCTGGTGACAATCAAACCAACAAGTTTTTCTACCATGTTTTAGCTGAAACGCATCAGTTCGATGAAGACAATAAGGACAAGATAGCCTCCCATGTGTAGTCCATCATGATAGCATACCATAAGCGGGGAAATCGCTTATTCTCCACATAAGCACAGCCCGCATAGTAAAATTTTTCCTCGTAGAACAGTCATATGTACGAACACCAGTATACCATAACTGATTCAACTCATGTATGAGTGGCTGCAGAAATACATCGAGAGCTCGCTTCGGATGATTTGGACCTGGAACCAAAATACTTAGGAAAAAAAATTCCCTTTGCATGCACAAATCTGGAGGAAGGTTATAAGGAGTTAGGATTACTGGCCATAATGAATATTGTCTACCAGACATACCAAATAGACTAAAACCATCAGTGCACAGACCAAGATAGACATTCCGTTTGAACTTAGCAAAATCTGTGTATACCATATTGAAGTGTTTCCATGCCTTTGCATCTGATGGATGAACAACTTCTCCATTTACTTGTGTATGTTCCGCATGCCATCTCATTGATGCAGATGTCCTTTCAGATTGATAAAGCCGTTTTAACCTATCAGTTATAGGGAGATACCACATACGTTGGTACGATATCCTTTTACGCCTACCAGTTTGCGGCCTGTATCTTGGTTTTTAGCAAAATCGACATTCCTCCAGCTGATTATCATCTTTCCAAAAAATCATACAGTTGTCAACACATACATCTATCATCTCTGAAGGTAGACTAAGACTAAAAATCAACTTCTGAATTTCATAGTATGTTCCCGCTGCCAAGTTATCCTCTGGTAGATACTCTTTCAGAAGATCAGCCCAATCATCCATGCAAACCTCAGCCAGGTTATGATCTGTTTTAATTGACATCATCCTAGCTGCCAACAATAATTTAGACAAGCCTTCTCTACATCCTTCGTAGATTGGCTGATTAGCATTGTCTAACAAATCATAAAATCGTTTGGCATCTACATTAGGTTCCTCAACAGCATTACCAGTATGCGTTTCATGAAATCCATCAGTCACCATTTCGTGCATCCTATCATGATCTACACTTTGATCATATTGATACTGATTAGGCTGATGACCATAATTCGATTCATCAATATCAACATGACTTTGATAATTACTACTACTACCAGCATTCCCATGAGTATTACTGCCATATCATTCTCCATGTAGATACCAAACAAAATATTACGGCATAAACCCTCTATTTAATAAATGCGTCCACACGGTTTTGGTTAGTGTATACCTCGTATTCTTGCATTTCAAACAAGGACAAAACATCTTCCCACTATCTTTCGTTCTCTCCATATTTGTAGCCTGAAACATAAATATTTCTAACCCGTTCTTGAACTCTTCTAAAAACGCTCTATCTGAATCTTTACGCATATACATCCAACTTCTTAGCTCGTATATAGACATCTTGAAAATAAACTCAAAATAATATCTCTTTTTATTGATTAGACAATAAAGGAGGTGGTCTCTTGTGTCACGTCTAGCCACGTGAATAGAGTAAATTAACCTTATAATATTATTACTTCTTTTTTTCAAAGTAAGATAACTCCTAATTCGGGTTTCCAGCAATGGACAACCCAATATATAAGGATTTACAACATTATACTAAAATTTAAGAGACCTACAATGGGTCTCCAAGATGAAGATGCTCTTATGTTTGAATGATGATGTGTTGTGATTGAATGAAGGAATGAAGATCTATTTATAGGAAAATTTCGGGCTTTACAACGCTTTTACGACGACATTTTACGACGGTTTTACATTCAACAATAATATTACGACGAGTTTACGACAATTATGCGATAAAATCTTTCATCTACAATTGTTAGGTAAACATGTTTTAAATGTTTTTCACCTAACTTCTTTTTCGACGTAAAATCTTCGTAATATGTACATCGAAATGCAGTCGTCGTATATTCGTCGTAATTTTGCATCGAATTTACGACGATTTTACATTTACTAGCAAATCTCTCGTTATCGATGTATATTCGTCGTAATTCGTCGTAAATTGTACGTCGAGTTTACGACGATTTTATTATACGACGGTTTTTAAATTAGACGTAACATCGTCGTAAAATCATTGTAAGTTTGCGATGATTTTAAAACCGTCGTAATGGACCGTTGGAAAACGATTGTTTTCTTGTAGTGTGTAATTTAAATAAGATAAAATACTTTTATTACATAAAATTAAAGGCGGTTAAACCAGCCATAGTACAAGTTTGAAAAACTTACTTATTGGAGATCGTAACAATGTAAGAAGATTACAGGACTCAGCGAATATGGTAGAGAAAGAAAATGAAAAAGAAGGATGAAATGGAGAATGGTACTTCAAAACATTTATAAGTCACGAAGTCTAATTTTCTTTATTTTCAAAGAATTCTAACCTGTTCAAACTTCAAAATATTGAAGAAATGAGACCAAACTAAAGAAGATATCTAATGATAATCCGGCTTGTCCGATTTAATTTCTAATCTCATACAGCGAAATAATATATGTATTTATAACCAAAATTATTTGATTCAAGTCAAGAATTATCAAATGTAATAAATATTAAAAAAAATCGATTCCGATTCTACTAGAATATAGAAACACTCCCCATTTCCTAAAAACCCTTTTAGTCAACTAACTCTTTAATAAAAACCTCTCAACCATCATAATCAAAAGTTAAATAACCTTCTTGTTTTCCGGGGAAAGATAAAATAAATATAAAAAAACTCTTTGGTTCCTTTTTATATATCTTCTCAAACAAAAGAAAAAATCCATCCAAGTTTGAAAAGCTCTTTAGAGAAATGCATCCGGGGAATCTATGGGGCGGTAACCTCGACGCTGTAGATAGCGATCGAGCCGCGGCTGAGGAGGAAGAGCGGCGGAGGAATATGATGGAATGGGACAGAGGAGCTCTCCATTCGCAGCAGCTAACCGCGGAAAACCAGAGGAACCAATTGGACGAAACGCAACAAAGCTGGTTACTTGCACCACAAGATAGCTGGAAGAAGAAGAGAAAGAAGTATGTAAACCTAGGTTGCGTATCCGTGGGCCGCACGGTTTGTATGTGGACCGTTGGATCTATCGTCGTCTTGTTCCTTGTCGTTGCTCTTCCGATCATCATCGTCAAGACTTTGCCTCGACATAAGTCTACCCCTCCTCCTTCCGATAATTACACCCTTGCCCTTCACAAAGCTCTTCAGTTTTTCGATGCCCAGAAATGTAAGTCTTTCTTTGTTTTGTTTTCCGTATTGTTTTTTTATTTTCCTCCCAACTATTGCTCATTATTTATATCTTTACATTTGTATCTTCCTTTCCCTCATAACAAAAAGATTAATTTCAATTTCTTAAAAAGATTATTTAACTGTAAACTAAACAAGATGACCATTACAAACAAAATAAACTAAACAAGATGACAAGTTTTTGTTTTTTTTTTTGGTAGAAAAAAAGATGACAAGATTTTTAAGTTATCAAATTATATATTTAATCTCTTGCAAAACATTCTTGGGGATTTAAATTTTATCTATTTCTATAGAAAAGTGTACTAGGGGAAAAAAATCTCTAGCAACGATTTACTGTAAATTCTTAACTATAAAGCTAAAGACTTAATACAGAGAATGTTTTGTAAATGTATGGAAAATGTGAATATGTATAATTTTAGAAAAAAATCAAAGAAAAAGTTGAACAAATGCTCTGATTAATTCAGTTTAGTGATAAAAAAAAAAGTCAATCATTGTCAGGAAACTTTGAATTGTTCCGTGTTCAAAAGAGAATTAATCTAATATTATGACACACAAAAAGAGAGAGAGAGAGAGAGAGACTAGTGATAGGTGGTGATAGAGTTGAAGAAGATTACATATCACGTTGACATTCCAATTAATTATCAAAATCTGTTTGAAGCACGTTTATACGACTAATTACTTGTACCGTCACGTCACATTTTCCCATTTTGTTCTTCTGAGCTGGCTATTGGTAATGTTCACATCATGTTTTTGGCTTACAAGGACTACAAATTTATTTTTACACGGTTTTGATATATTTTTTTTTGTTTTTGGAAGAAGAGGCCGTTTTGATATCAATTTCATATTTTTTGGTAGAATCTTATGAAATCCAAGGGCTAGTTCGGAATTGTGTTTTTCCCTTCGTTAGATACATTTTTTCACCCAAACACCTATGCATATCGAACTTAGAAAATAAGTTTAAAATCGAATGTGGAGAGTAAATTGGAATACCCTTTAAATCAGTGAATCGATAATTTTGTAATCTTCAATATCAACCCAGTGTTCCATCTCTTTCCAAAAGAAAGTTTTTATGATTTGATTTTTGTTTCACATATATGGATTTTTAAAAGTGTTTTTATACATTTTTAGTTAATGATGATAAATTATAAATCTTCAAAAAAAAATATTGAAATTGTTGAATTACTGTTGGTTTAGAATTACAGGAAATTGGTAATCAGAAAATGATGCATTTATAATCAGATTAATTTGTTTTCTTAATATGTGTGAAAACTCCAAAAAAAAAAAAGAGTGCATTTTTATTATTTTTAATTAAAGGTAAACGTAATTCTTGATTTTATCAGTTTAGTTTTTCATAGTTTATATTTTCCTAAGAAAATCTCTTGTTTCTAATTTGATATGTTTTTAGAGTTTTCACACATATTAAGGAAAAAAAATAATAGTTATTATAAATGTATCATTTTGTAACTAAATAATTTTCCCATTATTTTAAATCAATAATTGTTCAATATATTTAGTTATTTTTTAACTAATGTTTCTTGAAGTTGCAAATTCTTTACTATTAATTATTAAAAATGCATAGAAAAGATAAAAATCTATTTTATGAAACAGTAAAGAACAGATTATATCAAAGCAAATACAAAAAACTAGTGAATCGGTTAAACAAGAATTATATTCATATCAAACAAATCAAATCGATGTAATAAAAAAACTAAATATAGTTTCACATTTTATTTAACAAAATATTCAAGAATTTGGTTGTGATTGACATGTCTGTAAGAAATTGGTATTGATGGTGATATATATCTGAAGTAAGAATGATGATTAATGAAAATACGGCAGCGGGTAAATTGCCAAAGAAGAATCGGGTTTCATGGAGGGGAGATTCAGGGCTAAAGGATGGGCTACCGGATGTGCCCGGAGGATTGGTCGGAGGGTATTACGACGGAGGAAGCAACATTAAGTTTCATTTTCCGATGGCATTCTCCATGACAATGCTTAGTTGGAGTCTCATTGAGTATAACCACAAACTCAAAGCCATCAATGAGTATGATCACATGAGAGATGTTCTCAAATGGGGAACTGATTATCTTCTTCTCACTTTCAACAATTCTGCTACTCGCCTTGATCATATCTACACTCAGGTCTTTAATCTGTAACTTTGTTCCTTCATTTCGTTTGTTTTCCGTATTATTATCTTTTCATATTTCTGTTTATTCTCATTGGAAACACATTAGAAGGCAAAATCAACTGGTTAGCTATGTTACAAATACTAAATAATTTGGTAAATATATCGATATAAATTGTACTTTGAAAAACAGAAATGTGATAAAATTGTAAATTATCGTTCGTGGCGCTCTATATATTTCTTCAAAATTATTATAGAAGGAAGATATTTTGTTTATGTTACTTTCTTTGCCTCCTCGAAATATATTAGCATTTTGGTATTCTTTAAAAGCAAACTAAGAGTCTAAGAGCACTAGTAGGATTCAATCAAATAGGTTTCCTGCGCTTCAAGAAACCGACGTTTTTACTATACGAACAAGCTGTTTCAATACTTTCTTGCCCTTAAAGAAACCTATAACGTACTTACCCTTGTTAATCGAAGCCTTGTTTCCATGATTTTTAGGTTGGTGGAGGGCTTAGAGACTCAGAATCACCAGATGATATTTACTGTTGGCAAAGACCAGAAGACATGTCATACGACCGTCCTGTCATTTCCTCAACTTCCGCCACTGACCTCGGCGCAGAAGTCGCTGCTGCCTTAGCTGCAGCCTCAATCGTCTTCACCGACAGACCAACCTACGCCAAAAAACTCAAAAAAGGCGCAGAGACACTATGGCCTTTCTTTAGAAACAAGAACAGACGCAACCGCTACTCAAACGGACAGCCAACTACTCAAGCTTTCTACAACTCAACCAGTATGTTCGACGAGCTCATGTGGGCTGGCGCGTGGCTTTACTACGCCACTGGAAACAAGACTTATATACAACTCGCCACACACCCAAGTGTGCCTCAAACGGCTAAAGCTTTTGCTAATCGACCGGAACTGATGGTACCGAGCTGGAATAACAAATTACCTGGTGCTATGTTGTTGATGACGCGGTATAGATTGTTCTTGAATCCTGGTTTTCCTTACGAGAACATGCTTAATAGGTACCACAACGCTACTGGTGTCACCATGTGTGCTTATCTCAAGCAGTACAATGTGTTTAACCGGACTTCAGGTGATTTAAATATTTTGTTAAATTTGTGTTTGTGTATGTATTGTCTTGAAAAGTATTTTCAACTTGTTTTTTTTTTTTTTGAGAAATTTTGCAGGAGGGCTTATACAATTAAACATGGGGAAACCAAGACCACTTGAATATGTGGCTCATGCTTCTTTCTTAGCTTCTTTGTTTGCGGATTATTTGAATTCAACTGGAGTTCCTGGATGGTACTGTGGCCCTACCTTTGTCTCCAATCATGTTCTTAAGGATTTTGCTAAATCGCAGGTAAGAATCAACTTATATATATACGCAGAAGGACCATGCTTAAGATTCTGGAATTAGAAGTCTCATGCAAGAAAAATTAATGGGATTTTTGTTTGGGATAAAAAATTTCATAAAAGTGCTGTTTACCCAAATTTCTCTTAAACAATACCACAAAATAGAAAATAAAGTTTTGGTTTATAGGAGGTTCATAGTGAATACAAAAATCTTCAACGGTATTTAACAATTGTAAGTATACATGTTATTTCGTAAAATTAAAACGTAAATATATTTTCTAACCATTTTTTATGACAAGATTATGGTCCTATTTCTTGATAATATTCCAGAAGTACCAAAAGACCGCTTGTGTTTCTGTTTTTTGTTATTTTTTTTAATATGTTTTCCGTGGTTTTATTTTTGGTATTGCTTTGATCAGATTGATTATATTCTTGGAGACAACCCTTTGAAAATGAGCTACGTGGTTGGGTTCGGCAAGAAGTTTCCAAGACACGTTCATCACCGAGGAGCCACGATTCCAAACGACAAAAAGAGAAGGAGCTGTAGAGAAGGATTGAAGTATAGAGACACAAAGAATCCAAACCCAAACAACATCACTGGAGCTATGGTTGGAGGACCAAACAAATTCGATAAGTTCCATGACATACGAAACAATTACAACGCGAGCGAGCCTACTCTGTCCGGGAACGCAGGTCTCGTTGCTGCTCTTATTTCCTTAACCAGCAGTGGTGGCTACCAAATCGATAAGAACACGATGTTCAATGGTGTTCCTCCTCTCTATCCTCCTGCTCCACCACCACCTAAAGCTTGGAGGCCTTAAGAAATGTTTCATTTACGTGACCGAGTTTAATTTATACATTTATAATACCTTATATTGACACTTTCAATCACTTGGGTTCCCTTTTGATTAAATTATAATGTTGTTGCAATGAATCAAATTACTGGCATTGATTTTGGAGAAATGTCTTTACATGACATTTCTAAGCGAGTGAAGACAAACTTTGAGGATTTGTGTCAGAAGCAGGAGCTAACTTTGTTGAACCCTACTTTGGAGGCACACCAAGAGGAGAACGATGCTTATTCTAAATGGGAAAAGTCGGTGTATCTGGAGGAGAAGTACTTGTCTCAGAAGGCGAAGCTGAACTGGTTACAGAATGGAGACAAGAACACCAAAGTTTTCCATCGAGCGGTGAAAGTGAGAACTTTTCGAAATAGCATTTGTGAGTTGCAATCTAGCGAAGGGAATTGGATAAAGGAGGCAACTGAGATCAAGGAAGAGGCAGTAAAACACTTCGATTCATTCATGAATCATAGACCAGTGGATTTGAGGCAAATTTCAGTAGATGAGATAAGAGAATTGCTGGATTACCGATGTTCATCTGAGGAGCAGAGGAAGCTTGTCGAGGTAGTCTCTGCTAAGAGATTCATGATGTTCTTTTTTCAATGCCTTTGAATAAATCCCCGGGACCAGATGGTTATACGGTGGAATTCTTCAAGGACTGTTGGTCGATTGTAGGGCAGGATCTGGTTGTGGCGATCCAGTCTTTTTTCGACAAAGGATTTCTCCCAAAAGGCATAAATTCCACAATTCTGGCGTTGATTCCTAAGAAGGATCAGGCAATGCAGATGAAGGACTATCGCCCGATAGCTTGCTGCAATGTTATTTACAAAATTATATCGAAGATAATAGCTAATCGCCTAAAGTCTTTGCTCCCAAGATTCATTTCCCCAAACCAATCTGCTTTTGTTCAAGATAGGTTGCTACTCGAAAACTTGATGTTAGCATCTGAACTTGTCGCAGGCTATCACACTAAGTCGATATCATCTCGTTGCGCTTTGAAGATTGACATATCAAAAGCTTTTGATTCAGTTGAGTGGGGTTTTTTACTGACTGTATTAGAAGCTCTGAATCTGCCGTCGACTTTTGTCCACTGGGTTCGGCTTTGCGTATCGACAGCGTCTTTCTCGGTTCAAGTAAACGGGGAGTTAGCTGGATATATTAATAGCTAGAGGGGGCTTAGACAGGGATGTTCGCTTTCTCCATACTTATTTGTTATCTGCATGAATGTTTTATCTCATATGTTGGACAAGGCGGCTTTGGAGAGGAAATTTGGTTTCCACCCTAAATGTTCGAACTTAAAGCTAACTCATCTCTGTTTTGCGGACGACATTATGGTTTTTTCGGATGGGAAACTAAGATCAATGGAAGGGATTGTTAAGGTTTTTGAGGAGTTTTCGAAGATCTCTGGGTTACAAATAAGCATGGAGAAATCGACAGTTTATCTTGCAGGTGTGACCGATGGGGAAAGGCAAGTTATTAGTCAGCGGTTAGCTTTTGAACATGGATATCTCCCAGTAAGATATTTGGGGTTGCCTCTTCTAACCAAAAGAATGAGGTGCCTTGATTATACCACGCTAATTGACAAGATAAAGAGTCGCTTCAACTCCTGGACGGCTCGACATTTGTCTTTTGCGGGACGCCTGCAGCTGATCGCATCGGTTATCACTAGTCTTGTAAACTTCTGGATGCAAGCTTTTAGATTACCGAAAGGATGTATTGATACGATTGATAGTCTTTGTTCTGCTTTTCTCTGGTCCGGACCGGATTTAAAGCCGAGCAAGGCCAAGATTGCATAGTCTGACGTGTGTAGATCGAAATGGGAAGGAGGTCTGGGGTTAAAGAATCTACATACTGCAAATGAGGTGTGTGTGCTGAAGCTGTTATGGAGGTTAGTTACTGCGCCGAAATCCCTTTGGGTTCAGTGGACAAAAGTGAATCTCATGAGAGGGGAATTCCAAAGGGGATGTGTACAAGGAGACTTTTAGTGCAAAGCATACTCGAAATCAGCTTCTCAATCACATTCGAGTAAGCTGGTCGGAAGGGATTTGGTTTAAGTACCACAATCCGAAGCTGGGGTTTATAGCTTGGCTGGCTATACGAAATCGTCTCTCGACTGGGGATCGTATGCAGCAGTGGAACTCAAATGTCTCGGTTTCGTGTGTCCTGTGTCAGGAGCCAGTCGAATCGCGAGATCATTTGTTTTTTGCGTGTCCTTTCTCTATGAGAATATGGACTAATGTAGCAACGGGAATCCTAAGGCAGGACTTCACAACGGATTGGCAGGAGCTTGTCAACATTATCTCGTGTCGACAGTCCCATCTGGTAAAGGGATTCATCACCCGATATATGTTTCAGCAAACTCTCTATGCAATTTGGAGAGAACGAAATGCCCGTAAACATGGTTCGTCGCATTCGGAATGGGCTACGCTCATCAGAATGATTGACAAGGGGATTCGAAATGGCTTAAGCAATATTCGACTACAAGGAGATAGAAGATATGAAGCAGGACTTCAATTGTGGTTTGCCTCAAGACCTCGACAATGATCATACAGCAATGGAGAAGCAGGAATGGAAGTGCAGGGTTATTTTTTCCTTTGTTCTGATTAATTGGTCAAGTTTAAGTTAGTTTTAATTATAAAGCCCGCATCGTCGATGTAGAAAACGCTTTTTTCTGGTTCGAATAAATTTAACATTCATCCGAAAAAGAAAAAAAACTGAGCAATGGCGTAATGAAATATGAAGAGGGATTGAGAATCTGGTTCTCGACAAGACAAGACACCACATAAAGGACATGTTTTAATTTAAAAACGTTTGGATTCAAGTTGTAAAAACGTTGGTTTTTTCTTTGAAAATAATTTAACATTAGATTCAAAAAAAGAACATACTACTCTCTTTGCTTCATAATCCTTTTACTATTTTTTGTGTAAGCAAGTATGTAAATCTGTATAATAATCTATTTAAATTATAATAAAAAATAACTTGTATTTTTTGTGTTAAAACAATAAAATTGAGTTTTAAGGTAAACGTGACATGTTGACAAAGGTAAAAGTGACATTCCTTGGAAACAAAAATGACATTCTATGGAAACAAAAACAAAATCTTAAACATGTTCTTATGATTATGATGAAATTGAGAGAATATTATTTTATTTAAAACAAGAAGACACTGTAATGAAGACAAACTTATAACTAGAGGATTATATTCTTATTTTATAAATGAAAGACCCCTAACTGAGTACAGTTTCACTCTGTTCTCTTTGTTTTTAACAATTGCGACGAAATGTTATTTAGTAAAACTGAAACGTAAAATAAAGACAAAATAATTTACGTCTCTAATTGAACTATATATCTTTGAATTTCACTGGATTGGAGACTGTCGCTTGTGCGCAGCCACCGCACTGCTGATTGTAACAAATTCTACAATCTAAGCCATATGGATCGTCACTGAGCGAGACAGGAACCGGGTTCGAAAGGCACAACTCGTCCACCACCAACCAATGGTGCAGCTGCAACTCCTCTTTGATTCAACAAGCATCTAAAGTGAGCCAACCTCGTCGTTACCTTGTCGGGATTTTTAGCCAACTTTGCATAAGGTGTCCATAAACGTTCTATCAAACACAAAATATAATGTTAATATTTAGCAATTACCTCCTCTATTCATAATATATGATGTTTTAGATGTTTTTCTTTTCTTTTTCAGAATACAAGATTTTTCACATATCTATGCAATCTTTATATATATTAGATTTTGTATGATATATTCTGTAACTTTTTCAAGATTGTCTGATTTCCTATATATTTATACTTTTCAAAAAAACTTAATTTTCTTAATTCTCAACCTTTTAACTAAAACATCCTATATTATGAAACAGAGGGAGTAATATACAATATGTTATAACTTATAAATTACTCGACATCCTCAGTTTCATTGTATAAGATGTTTCTTAAAAAGGGTGGTGATTAAGAAGTTGTATAAATAATCTCTACATGTTTTTTTAAAGACTGAAAGATTTAAATAAAATGAAGCAACAAATAAATCACTAAAAGTTCTTTAAAAACCGAAAACGAAGAGGGTATTTTGCAAGAATTGTCAGTTAAAATTTATTCATGTGTACCTGCAGCTGCGGCAGCGCGAGGCCAAATGGTTTGTTCAATATCAGAAGCATCAATGTTTTCACCCCACATGCAAACCTCACCACCAAGTACTAGACTTTGTTGCTTTTGATCCTTTATGTTTGCAAGTGGCTCGTTCGAGTAAAAGTTTTGCCAAGGTGAGTCTATATGGTCCAAATACCATTTGTCTTGGTTACTCACTATACACCTTAAACCGGACGCTGTCACTTTCTCAACAACTCCTGTACCAAGCCTGATTCACCAAGTAAAAAGATGAGTATTTTCAATGTTGTGTCACTTCTTCTACACAATTTGTACTAGTTTCTATGGTATATATTTACCAGTTGTGAACCACAGTTTTTGGGCTTAATTTGCCTCCAAAATTGTTGAAGGTTTCTTCCCTATAATACAACATTAGAAAAATTTGGTAAGAAATAGCAACTTTGATTAGCTTTTTGTTTTTTGTTTTTTTTTTAGTTTTCTAATGAAAGGGTTAGTTACCAGTTGATGATTTCATATCCGTGAGACAAAGCGATTTTCTGCGCCCGAAGTACGAAATATTCATAAGCTTCTGCTTCACTCTTCCGATGCTTTTTTAGCCTGTATAGGTTTAGATTAGTTGAAGTAACATGAGGATAAATATTTTAGAGAACTATAGAAATGTCTTAAGTATCATTACCATTGGGCTATTCGCGGTGTTGTAGACCAGCAAGCTGCAAAGAAATACATGTAAATGAAATTTCAGGGAACAAACACATATTCACATATTATAGAGGAAGTATGATAAACAGAGGAGATTTTCGTTACTTGTATTTACTTCGTCACCTCCCAAGTGGACAAATTTAAATTTAAAGATCTTGCTGAAATCTGAAAAAAAAAAAAAATCTCCATTAGAAGTATGAAAACATTTGGCTA